TCACGCAGCCGCAAGGTGAACTTTTCAATTTAGCACCATGCTAAGGGAAACTACGTATGCAAATCGAATAATATTTTTTTGAAAAAATTAATTCTTTTGATTTTATTCTTGTTTATATCCTTCTTCTTGTAACAGTAACCTTACTATCTTTTCATTCGTCAAGGTACTACCATTTTTATAGAATTTTATAATAATAATAAAATAAGAACTACACGATATACTCCTATATAATTTGAAGAAACATTTAATTGAATTGTTTCACTAAATTAATTAAAGTAAATTAATTTTCCAATTGTTATGAAAGTGTTGTGCCACAAACATTAACAAAGTTATTATTTGTTAATCTTTATTATAATATTATTTAATTGTATTATTCATGAAATCATTCTTTTCAAATCAAGTAGATTTCAACAAAAAAAAATATGAACTGCGAAACAAAATAAACCTTTAATAAAGTTTTCTTTTACACTGCAAAAAATATTTTGTTATTTGTTGATCTGCATCAAACGATAGAATTCTATGCTGAAAGACGTGTGAGTTGTCTTTCTTGATGATACTTAACAACTATGAAAATGGTGCCGACATATACAATTACTGAAAGATATTAAATAAATTTTAATTATAGCGTTCGTCCTTGGCAGTTATCGTGCAATCGAACTAACGGACGGATGGACATATTATGTCTAAATCAACATGTCCATAATGCAGATGACTCCCTCAAGTGAATACAAACACCATACCAAAGTTAATATACCCTTCACGAAGTAATAGGGTATATTTTATATTAAATATACAGATATGTCAAATATTTTAGTTCGAACCGTATTTTCTTTGATCTAATCGTAATTTTTTTCTCTCAGTGTTATTTTATTCAAAGTGAAAGAAAAATTTCATCTGAAAACCATATGAAAAACCTCTTGAAAACGTAATAATTTTGTAAATAAATCAACCTAATTTATTTATTCTTGTTCTAAAAGTAAAATTTAATACAATAAATAAGAAATAATAACCTTAAACACTAAATTATAGTAACAAATATAAAATACAAGTTTTAATACAATTATAATGCAATGTGAACATTGAACAGTGTATTCTTTTTTAGGATAAACTCACAATTTCCTTCTAAAATGTTAAGATACGGCATTGCAAAAATTTTACAACAATTTTTTCAATAATTGAATTCAAATATTAGGATTAAAGCCCTACAGTATTTTGTGTTTCAATCAGTAAATGCTTTACTGATTGAAACACAAAAAATCAACTTAAATTTATAAAACGAAAATTGTAATACGTGGTCGGTAACCTTAAAGTGTATAAAATATCGAAAATGGCTGCATCCTTTAAAAAAATATCAAAATTTAGAATTAAAATGAGCCAAATTTCAACTGCATACGTGTGTACTTTGGCTTTTAATACTTTTATTATGTACAAATCTTATTTTCAATAATAATGTTGAACAACTTGTTGAAATTACATACTTATAAATGAATTCGAATTATATGCTTCGGAACATTTAATTTATAAATTTATTGCGATTCTTATAGCGCAACTCATTACAACAGAAATGGAGCACTATGTGTCTTGAAATGTTGTTGAAACCAATTACTTTGCAAAAGTATGGTAAAACTAAGAAAATTTATACGATACTTTGTTGAACTGAAATCGAAAATTTATACGAGTTAAGAAAATGAAAATTTTACACATGACTGAATAGAGAAAATTTTTTGTCGATTGAATTTTGATGAAATTTATCATATATATTATGAAAGTGTATGCGTACAACACCTTTACAATATTGTTACAACAATCTGCAAAAAAAAAACAAAAACCCAAAATTCAATTAGAAAAGTTGCACAATACTATTTGTGAAATTTTCTTAAGGTTTTTCCATTCTATTAAATTTAAATTATTTATTTAAAAAATTTTTTACTTGTTACTTTTCTACACACACACATACTTAAATTTCATGGTTTCTTTTGTGCTTTGAAAATAGGGAATCCTTTTCTTTTTATTTTAAACAGAATAAAATAAATACAAAAATGAATAAATATTTGAGATATTATTTAGGTATTTTATGTAGGTACCATGTATTATCTTTTGTTACTATCATATAGAGAAAAATAAAAGATTTTCTATAAATGGAAAAAATATTTTTTTAATTTAGTTAACTTTAAACAATAGCGAAATTTTTGCTATCTTGGAACTCTCATACAATTCTAGTTTGAAATGAATTAGGAAAGAAATTTAAATACGATCGTCGGAATAGTAATTACGAAATAATGCCGCCAGAATAGAATCTCGAAAATTTTAATTAAATTTTATAAAGCTACAGGCAGCGTTTTCATATTTTTTTTCCCGCTAAAAATTGTCGAACACACAGAGTTTGTAAATTTTTTATATATTTTAAGTTAGTATTACAAGAGATCATATAATGGCTCCGTTTAAAAAAAAGTAAACAAATAATAAAAAAACGCCAGTATCAAGAATTTCAGAGTTTACAAGGATATGGCAACTCAACGAATCGTAAGAAAAAAAAATTTTTGTATATTACTTGTCGCCTCAATTATATCACATATGTTTGCGATTTCTCCTTTATATTCTGCTTTTTCTTATTGTTTTCTTTCTATTTTCTGTATTTTCTCCTTTTTATTTTGCTGTATAACAGAAATTCAAATCTGATGCAGTTTTCAACAAAGATCGATAGATGGGTCTGGCAAAAATGAGAAAATCGTTAGACTTTTTATATAATTAAAAATTGTTGTACCGGATTAGATGTCTGGTATTACTTAAATTTTAATTAAATCTTGTAATTATGAAGTTAGTTTTAAAAAATTTTCTAATATTCTAAAGTAATTTTATAAAAACTTTTCTAATTTATGTCGTATTTTGTTTAGAAAATATGCTGTCAAAAGTAACAAAATACAATTTACATTTCGGCACATACAACAAATTCGGTCTTAGATTTCGTGAAAAGTTCTGAGCAAAAATTGAGATTAATAAAAGCTCTATAATCGTGAATTCTAAACAAGATATAGTTTTTGTGTAAACGGTGTAGAAAGATTTTAACTCAGACTTACAACTTAAAGAGTTCTTAAGGAAGCAATAATGATCTTTAACGAAAAAAATTACTTACAGTCCTTTAATTAAGAGTATAACAAATTTGTGAAAATGCCAATTACAAATCAACGTATCTACATCAGAATAATCTGGATCTGAACTTAATATTTAAATTCAAATGGAAATAATTAATCCAAATGTTTTGCCTATATCTTGGTTTTATTTTATTGATATTGCATTTTATCAAGAATCTATGTGCCTTTCCGATTTCGAAAGCAATATAAATCAAATTAGTGTTCTAAGTAAACAATAAATTGTCTATTGAAACTATGAAGAATAAAAGCTATGAAAAAATTTAATTACTTCTCATTGAGTTCTTGATGAGCAGAAAAAACTTTACTACGGGCTCATTTTTAAATTAAACTTTAGAATTTTTTAATTTTTTTTTTGTTCATCACAGATATTTTCTTTTCAACTCTTTTGTTAATTTGTTTCCAGCTTTTTTCTTATTTCAAAAGATTTCTTTAAATTTGTTTTTTTGTTTTTTGAATTTGGAATAATACAGAATTAAAATATATTTTCTGGTACATAAACATGCAAGTATATCATACCCATATAATATAAATTTGTTGTTGCTTTATTTGTTTTTTTTTTTTGTATTTTTAATGCACTTAAAAGAAACGAAAGGAATTTCATTTCTTTTAATCCTATTGTATACCATACAAGGTATATTTACCGGAGAAAGGTACACATGAAGGTGAAAAAAGAAGTACAAAAATAAAATTGAAAACGAATCAATTTCAATTGAGTTACTCAACATTGAATAGCGCTTTTATACAAACTGGATTTGATGCTTCTTTTTTTTTGTTTTCAAGTGTAATTTTAAAATCTCCAAGAACAAAAATAATAAAATTAAAGTGTAATGTAAATGTAAAATACAAAAAAAAAGGTGTAGTTTAAATAACCAGAAGAAGTGGATATAAAATAAAAAGTAAAAGAAAATTGAAAAGAAAAGAGAAAAGCAATACTAAAGAATAAAAGGCTATTGAAAATTGTTGCCACCAATTGTGGATAAAACTAACCAAACACCTTTTTTTCATAAGATTAACTGAATTGGAATTCAAATCCTTTCCTTTTTTTCATTTTGTTTTTTTCATTTTTTGTTGTTTTGTTTGGTCAACCAATTTTTGAAATTGCATATTAACCTCTTACTTTTCAATTTGTTTTTTATTGTAAACCGTTTACGATGCTTTAATATATTGGAAACGTTTGACATTATAGTTTCCATTTTATCGTATTTTTTAATATGGAAAATAAGTGAGAGTTCTAGTTTTTCTTTCGTATTACTCTAATGTATTTTGATAACTTTGATTATCCTAACATTATAGCGAAATAAGTTCTATACAACTTTCTATAAGTTGGGTTTGTAACGTAGCACTTTTCTTTTTAACAGATGAAATTACTGCTTTTACAAACAAATTAGCTATTTATTACATTATTAAAATAATTTTCATTCATATACGAATCTATTTCAAAAATTGCATACCTTTCTGATGAGCAATGCATGCCATCTTTGAAATCGTCTCCTCCTCTTACAATCATCCGTATTCTGTTTGTTAGCCGAATTCACATCATTTGAGGTGATCGGACATTATTGAAAATATTTCTGATTTGTAATATAGAATTTTAAATTTCGAAATTAATTCAAATTAGAACTCATCACACCAACCGATACGAATGATACAATATTGATGTTTATGACTCTTTCTTCAAATTTAACTTTCTTTCCTACATCAACCATTAAAATTAAATAATTTTTATTGTAATTCAAAATATTTTATTTACCTAATTGAAAACTAAGTAGCTTTTCTGAAAAAAACATTTTATACTTAAATTTTTGATAATATTTAAACTAAGTTTGATCTATATTAACTTAAAACTTTCTAAATTTCTTTGGAAATTATTTTCTTATAGCTTTGGTTTTCTTTATAACGGTTACGTATATAGTATATTAACCATACAAGTAAAATTATGGTTATAACACTCAAAAATATACAAAAGCCAATAAATAATATAATATCAATTAAATATAGACTGTACCAAGGAATATCAACAGCTGCTGGTTTAAGATATTCTCCACCTTTATGACGTATAACATAATCAATCCAATAAATTGCTGTATGCATAGCACCTACTGGTCGATCACGAAATATCTTCGATATTTCTCTCATTTTTGTAGAATATTGAGGATTTGTTATTAATTCATTAATAGCCCAGCTAAATGATTCCTCAGTTAAATTATGATAATCTAATTTAAATCCAAATCCCAATTCAGTAGCTCTTTTCATATTTATATGCTAAAAATATAGTTTCTCAACAGTTAAGAATGTTAATGAATATAAAAAATTAAATTTACTTGATCACCAAAAATTGGTATTCCTAAAATCGGAACATTTCTATAAACAGCTTCCTGTATACTTAATAATCCTCCATGAGTTATAAAATAATTGACATGGGGATGCGCCAAGACATCACTTTGAGGTATCCATTTTTTTATCATAACATTGTCAGGACAATTCGGTAAATATTCATCTTCCCATTTCCATAAAACACGTTGTTTTAATTTTTTAAATACATTTAATATTGCTTTTAATTTTTCTTGTGGTATATCAGAACTTTTAAGATTTGTTCCTAAACTAAAATAAATTACACCACGTGGTGAATCATCTATAAATCTTTTAATATCCCATACAATATTTTTTGGCGGCGGTATATGAACACCTCCTATATAAACAATTCCCATTACCATAGGTTTTGGAATATCAAGCGGTATATAATTATTTGCTAAAAGAACTGATACAGATTTTTCTAGTTCTTCCATTGATGGTATAGCTTCTAAAATACATGTAAAATAAAATTTAATTAGTAAATTCATTATATTGTGATTTAAATAAAAGTTGCTATAATTTGTACCTGACAAATGTCCAAAATGTTTCCGTATTAAACTATGTTGTTGAGGAAAAAAATTATATTTTCTATTGTATTCCGAATATAATGAACTAAAAGTATTATGAAGTCTTTCCCAAAAATTCATTCTATCACAATATGGTAAAAAATCTTGTGGTGAATGTGCCCATGGTATTACTAAACCCATCATAGTTGACATATGATTTTCAATACTATATGTATTTATTGCAACAACTGGTGCCTTATATATTTTACCAAACATTAAAACAGCATCTTGAAAAAATTGTTCAACTATAATTAAATCAAATTGTTGATTTCCTGCATTATTAATTAAATTTTTAACATGATTATTTTCTAAAAAATAATCAGTTGTTGTAAATCCAATTAAATTCATCATTTGATAAGTTTCTCTAGTTGACATATCACGCATTTCAAACATATCACCATAGCCCAATTCTGTTTTAATTGTAGACCAATAATCTAATGGTGGATCAATTAAAAGTTCATTATAATTTTCTAATTTTTCATTTATTGAATGACTGCTAACAACAGTGACCTAAAAATGTTATAAATCAAATTTTCAAATAATGTACGATGGCGTAAACAAACTTCATTTAATATCAGTCGGGTAAATAAATTGAAGTTTGTCAACAAATACTTACATTGTTGCCCTTTTTCGCTAACTCCATCATTATAGCTTTTAAAACCATAAAATGACTTTTTCCTGGATAAGCAAATAATCCTAAAATATTAGCTGAGTTCACAGGATCCAAAATATATGCCAGCAAAAATACAAGGGGTGAAATCAGCCGTATAATCTAAAATTGGATGGGCTGAATGCAATTCAATATATTCGAATTAGTCTTAAATAAAAAAATTTACCATTTTGTTATAAATTTTTTTCTAAAATTTTGCCAGAATTGTTTTATACAGCCAAAAAAAACCAACAATCAATATAAGAAAGCAAGATCAAAATGAAGGTATGTTTATATAAATTTCCCCTATATCAATAGAAATTTAACCTCAACTGAGGTTAATGTAAAACTGATCTCATCTTCTAATAAATAAATTTCAAATCAGTTTCATTTGAATCAAAGAGTTTAAGAATACCACCACATACACAAATGTGTTATGGCAATTGGGAACGCGATATAGATTAAACACACACATAAGTACATATGTATTATAAGAAATCTTTGAGCAGTAAAATAGCAAAATCGACAAACAAGCGTAAATCATAAAATCTCTCACTAATACAAATATATTTTTGAATTTTTTTTTTTTTACTAATAATCGTTTGTTTACATTCGTTGCGCTTAATATGCACATGCATGATATGACAGAGCACACATAATATTGATCTTCCTTCTCCCACTTGCAGATTTTAATAGTAATAATGTCTAATTTCAGTTAAATATTAATTTAAGGCGGAGATTAGCAGATATTATGACAAATTGAGAAAATTTTAACGGGTTTTACAATTTTGCAACAGTATACCCGAATTTTATTTTAAAATTGGGTTTTTCAATCGGTTAAAGCGGAAATTAAATATTGTTTTACATATTATTCATTATTGTCAAATTACTAGCAATATTTTGCCTTGTTTGTTTTATCAATTTTTTATTTGGACATTGAAAATATGTGTTTTTATTCACATAACTACTTTGTATAAATTCGTCGCAGTAGAGTTCAGTTGGTAAGTAAGGACTAAAATATGAAATCAACCTGACTCACTCTAATGGAATATTGATAAATAATTTATAAAACACTATGCTACTAAATGCCTACTTCATATTTCATGCTAAAATTATATGTAAGCCCGACCGTGCACAATTTTTGCTTATAACCATTTCGCTTTCTCATAATATTTTAAAATTGCATCTCTTTTATTGAGAGTATAGTACATTAGCAAATGATGTTTAGTAAATTGAATTCTCAATACATAATATAAACATTCGTAAATCATCTCATTTTTTTAATAAACCGGAAGCATACAGAGAAGTTAATTCTAAAAATAGATTGAAGCGCTATATGTGTTAGATTCAAGTTGAGAATATTTTCATTTTTGTTTTTGCTTAACCATCTGTTTCTCTGATATTCTTCTTATCGCATCTAACTAAGAATTAATGTTTATAGTAGAGTGAAACAAAACCGCCAAATCATGAATAATAAAATCGTTATCTCATTTATTTTTTTCTTGTGCGAAAGATAATCTTTAGATTCTTTTGTGCTTATGTATGTAAGTATGTATAATAACACGACAAAATGTTTGAAAGAAGTTGTATCACACAAATTCAAATGTATGTACAACAACAATGATAACTGCTTGTTTTATTTCTATTTTAATTAGTGCCTTTAGCGTAAGCAATTCTTATTTGATAAATTAAATGGCATAATTAGTATGTGGTTCCAAGAATTCTAGAAATTTCTAAAATATTCGTATTAAGAATACCATAGGGTTTGTCATTAAATTAACTTTTTACGGGTTTTCACAGATTTTTCAAAATTCTTCCCGTTACAGCAGCCAAAAAAATCGCATTTATTAATTTTCTTTTCATATCATAAGAACTACTTTTAAAATAATTTTACATTTTATTACAGAAACGTAGTCTCATAACAATATTCTAGCCTTGTGTAAAATAATAACATCCTTTATATAAACACATCAAATTATTATAATGCCATAAAATATATGTATGTAATTTTGTTATAATAAAAATTTTAGTCACATATTTTTCTATACAACCTATTCATGTAGCCCATTCGTGCTTCAACAAAATATGGATATTGAAAAAAAAAATTTGTAAACTTTAAATGAAAAAATATTAAAAAAAAAGAAAATCCAACATAAGTTTTAAAACATGCATCACATTTCAAAGTTCATGATAGTCGAACAATACGATCGAAAATTGAAAAGTCGATGTTCTGCAAAATTTTAGTGTTGCTTTTTTAATAAGATATCAAATAGTTTTGGAAAAGCATTTGTACAAGTACCACAGAAACTGGTTACTGTCAACTTCATTTTTCTTCTCGTTTAAAATTAGTTTTACAAATTCTCATCAATTTGCAAATCTAGGCATGACCACAAAATACGTATAAAATTCTTGAATACAATCTAAAATTTTTAAAAAGAAAAAAGAACGAGCTCTCTAAATAACTATTTCCATAATATCATAATTTCAGTAATTCAATAGAGAAAAGTTTTAATAAACGCTATCAAATATTCCGGATCTGTATGGCATTGCCATATTTTCTGTTAAACGTTAAAACTTCTTTACACGTTCATGAATTTTTAAATATCCAAAAACGGAAATGAAAATTTGAGTTCTTGCCAAGAAAATTTCTTAGTTTAATTTTTTCAACGTAGTTTTCGTACAATAACTTTAACATCCTTAAAACAAATAAAATACAAAACGTTAAAATGCTATATGTGTTTGACAAGGAGAATATCCATATTAAATTTGTCATATTATATAGGAACAAGCAATTTGTGTCGAAACCAAGCTGATACGTTGAGCAGATTTTTAATTTATATTTCGAAAGAATCTGCTGACAAATTATTACACCTACATAAGCTACTGACACTGCATCCCATACTTTAAATCGGGAAGTCAATTTATTAATATTGTATTAGTAGACCTTAACAAATAATAGTCGAAAATTGGCCATTAAATTCCATTTTAAACAAAATTCAATACCAATTAATTTGCTCTAAATATAATTATATTTCAATCTCTATAGGTTTTTTTCATTATAATATTTAGTTATTAATTATATAAATGTATATATATAAATACAATAACGTGAACTTATATTAAATAAAAATTTAAAAAGGAAAGAATTTCTGATACATTTTTAGCATATAAAATATTTTAAGTTGTTGTTGTTTGTAATACCGTGGCTTCTGTTTTCTCTGAAACAATATCTTTACCCTGATCTGAACCAGCACAATCTAATATTGGGAATTTCTTATACAGAGCTTCTCTATACTTTGGATGACTATAAGAAATTGATCATAACATATACAAAAAATCAATAATAATAATATAAACTTTAATCAATTTTACCTTATTCCATAGACAATAGGATTGTACATTGCATTACATTTAGCGAAAACTGAACCCCATATTGTTGCTAATGGTGTTAATTTAGCTGTTTGGAAAATTCCACTAAAATTAATTATTAAATATGGTGTCCATGCAAAGAACCATAATGAAATGGTTACAAGTGCAATTTTAGCTAATTTCGCTTCAATTGATTTACTCTCATTTTCGGTTGATCTCAATGAAGCAACATTCATTTTTTTAGCTTGTTCTCTCATTGTTCTTTCATGTTCAGCAACAGCCTTAAAATTAATTTTATAAAAAATATTATTTTATATAATTTTACTAATTTAAATTAAACTAATTAAAATTACCTTTATAATAAAATAATATGAGAATATTATTGAAAATAATGGTGTAAAATATACCCATGAACCATAGACTACGATATATGAACGACTTAACCAAGTTTGTGTTAAATAATCTGTTCCGCATGCTGTCATATTACCCTCTGGTACATAACGATTCCAACCAAATAATGGTAATAATGTCCATATTGTTGATACAATCCATACAAGTGCAACATAGAAAACGGCACGACCAACAGTTAAACGTTTACCAGTTATACCTTTTACAATAACATTATAACGATCGAATGCAATCATTGTCATTGACCATATCGATATACAACCAAATAATGAACCGCACATACCATATATTTCACACATTAATGGTCCTAATACCCATGTTTCATAATAACAATTATATACCATTGCCGGGAACATTGTTAACATCATCATAAAATCAGATACAGCCAAACTTATAACAAACATATTTGATGGTGTCCTTAAGGATTTCTCCGATGTGAATATTATAATAACAATGAAATTACCTGTCAATGATATTATACCGAAAATTGTCATAAAAAAACCTAATATACCATGCCATAATGGATTCATCGGCGGAAATTGATTCCAATAATTATCAACTAAATATAACATATCAGCTGGTACCGTATCAACAACGGATAAATTTCCGCTACGTTGAGCAGCAAAATATGGCTCTATAATTTTTTCCATTTCGATTCACAAAATGTATAAGTTTTTCTTTTACAATATGAAATTTATTAATATATTTTTCTGTCTTCTTCAATATATTGTCCTTATTTTAAAAGGATTTCTCATGAATATAAAAAATATTTTATATGATGATTTCTGACCAATTTATAATTTGTAGAAACCAAATTTTATTTTTACTTCTCTGATGATTTTCACTAGAAATAATTTGATGTCTTGTGTTTGGTTAAATGGTTAGTTATCTGAATGATGAGTTATGATGATTTTTTAATTCCGTTTTTTTTTAATAATAACTTTCAATCACTATTTTAAATGAAAATTGGAAAAAAGAATCACGTTTCCATTCTATACATATAAATTTTAATTTTTTTTAATTTTATCCCATGAGTAGTGGAATAAATAAACTAAAAAAAAAAAATTTAATAGAAATTTAAGAGAACAGCTAGCACCGATGCGCTTTACTGAGACTGACGTTTGAAATATGAGTTTTTCTGCTCCTTTTATACCAAAAAATTTTCATTTTTTTTTAGTATAGAAAGGACTCTTGATTTTTTTCGCTAATTTAATTTGTTTAGTCGTAAATATTAGGACTTCAGTATATTCATAGAGCAGTTTCACAAATAAATTTTATTGTTTTGCTCTGTAAGGGATTGTTCAAGTGAAAATTATGCTTCAGTCCTTTTCTACTCAGAAAATAAATTAGGAATAAAAATAAATTAGGAATACCAAATCATAATTTATTTCCGTCAAACTACAAACAAATTCAGTTTGAAAGTTTAAAACTGAGTTTGGGAAGCCAACTTTATTATAGTTCAAAAATTAAGGAACTTTTTGCTTAATTTTACAGAATTCAACATTTTGACCTTAGTATTTTGATTTAGTATCAAAAAATATCAAAAAACGGGTTTCTTAAAATTACATGAAAGCAATTTGGAGGAAACTAAAAAAAATCATATATATTTTGCGTTAAGAACAAATTGGATATTAAAAATCAATAATTTAAAAACCAAAAAAAACTCATAATTACGTATTGGAAAATGAATTAATCTTGAAAATAAAGCGACACCGCCGCAAAATTTTCAATGTAAATTAAAACGTAAATAACTATTTTGTGCGGCATAGAAGCAAAAGCATTTTAAAGCTATTGTATTATAAGTAAACTTGAGCGTAATTTTCAAGGGCAAATATTCTAAATAAAGCAACATTTCAAGACAGTTCAAAAGTTAAAGAAATTTCAAGGACTTTTACTAGCAAATAACAAAATTTTTTTTTTTTTTGCTAATGCTCGTAAGGTGTGAAGTCATAAGTAGTGATAATAAAAACTAAAATTAATGTAAAAATTTTTGTATGTTTAAATTTGTTTGAATGAAGCATTGAAAATCATTACGATTTGAAATAATACCTTTCAAACCTAGACGTAGGTATGTCCTATTTTGTAAATTGAACAAGAAGTGCATATTCATTCCCTTTAAATTTATTGAATTTTGCTCTAATATAGATTCTGGACGGAGTTAACTGTAAGAAAGAATTGTAAAAAAAATTGAAAGAACCAACTCTTTCTGCGTATATACAACCTTAACAACATCCTGCTATGCATCTTTAATAACGTAATTTATATTCTCCTTTATTTCCAGATGAAATTGAGATTCTGATAACGGTAACAATAATTTCATTGAGGTACTTATATAATTAAAAAAATTGATTATAACCCAAGAAAATTTATTGTTTTTAATTAACATTTCATCTCGGCTTTCAATTTTGCTGGAAAGCTTTTAGACACATCACCCTTGGTAAGCAAAGTATGACTGTAATCACATATTTTCGATGGAGGAAGCAAGTCAATTTTTATTGTGCTTTGATTAAACAATCAAAGCAACAAAATTTCATACCAATCTCACGAAGCTAATTGCTCTGATTTTAAAGCTTATTAAAACGAAAATAAGATGGCCACTATACCTTAATTTTGAAAAGCGAATCATACTTTCTTCTCAAAGACTAAGTGATTTAACAAATGATATTTAAAATTCAAAATGTTTTCAAAAATTTTCATTTTGTCATTTTTTATCATTTGAACTTTAAAACATTTTACAGAAAACATTCGTTTAACTGGCCGAATTTTCAAGTTCTTAAACCAAATCGAACTGGTGAAGTACAAGGAAAATTTAAAGGATTGATCATTAACTTTTTATGCTTAAGACATCTTAATTACGATATAAGAAATTTTTTCTCTTAAATTTTCCCAAGAAATATTTCTAAAACAATAGCGAATTCATTAGAATTACTTAAAAATTTTTCATACCAATTTTATTTTTGAAAAAATTCTAATTCTACAAACTTTTTCAAAAATTTCTTTAGAATAAGAAAAATAATTATTAAGCTTTATTCCTTTTTATTTGAAATTCTTTAAATTTTCAAAATTCTTATATAAAATTTAAAGTAAACACATTTTATACTCAACCCCAATACAAAATCCTTCATTATCCTGAAAAAAAAAATTAAAAAAATAAAAATTCAAAATAAAAAAAAATTAAAATCTTTTTATTTATTTTAATTTTTGTTATATGCCTACATTGATATATACATACAAATATACATGTATATTCCTTTTTAATAATAATTACCAAAATGACAAATTATTCTTAATTTTCCGCATATTTTAACAATAACTTAAAAAAACAGCTAAGCAACTAAAAACAAAAAATCATTAAAAAGCAGAAAATCAACATCAACAATAAAAATAATGAAAGAAAAATCTTGTTTGCTTTCCCTGAGACGACTCAGGCAAAATTATATTGAAACAACATCCTACCTACATTAAAAAAAAAAATCTAACATGGTAATAAGCAAATTTAAAAGGTACAAGAGAAATGTAGGCACAAAGAGAACCAAAATAAATGGCAATTCAACTCGACAATTTAAAAAGCGAAAAAAATCATATAAAATGAATTAAAACAATAAATTTGTTGTTTTATTTTCCGTAAGACCATGTAATTAATTGACCATATTCCATTAAAACATAAAAAAAAGCAGATAAAAAGAAAAAAAAACAAAAGAAAATTAAAAAATACGGAAAATAATAATAACTGAATAACTTCTAAATGGTAAAATTATTAAAAAATTTTTTGGTTTTTTTTTCCATTTTGCTTATTGTTACATTCAGAACACCGCCATCCTTAAATTATACAACATTGTATAATTTTATTATTTTCATATCTTCAATATATTCATGCCTACAATATATTTTTCTAATTTACCTGTAGATTTTGGAGTTACCAAAGCATAATTAAAAAAATTTTATATATTCTTATTCAAATTTGGCATGGCGGCTTACAGGATCTTTACAGATTTTCGTAAACACACGATGTTGAAGTGCACACTTTTAATTTTACTCTTACCTATGTATATGCATGAGATATATTTGATTTGACAATATTTTTATATTAACTCTAGGATTAGTTCGCATATTTTGTAGATGACATATGACGTTTTTGTAAAGTCACCAGAATTAAAAAAAAAACCTAATCGAAAAGATAACATGTGGCATATTCACACAATGGGTCGTATGTTATTGTCATTTTTGTATTTTCTGTTAGTCATAAAGAAGTTAAAAACATTCAATAGTAGAACTAACTACTTGAAGCCCTTAAATTTCAGCCCACAACATTTGTTTTTCTTGACGCCCGAAGTTGCTGTTTCGATGCCCTGAAAGTTATCATAGAATTATGTAAGTTATAGTCATAAAAATCACCGGAATACATAGACTATTCAATACCATTGTCAGAATATGTTTTGTAATTTTTGACCTATATTTCCTTATTTATTTCAGGGCTGTTGTGTACGCAGAAATTAAATTATAATGAAAGTACATGTAAATTACAATATGTTTGCATAAAATTGAAATATTTATCTTAAAAATAACCAAGCCTGTAAATAATAAATATAAGGCAACCCTATTATATTTCTTTACAGATTCCCACATACCTTGCATACCCCTGAATACATCTGACTAATGTGAACCAATTCAAACGTCAAAATAATAATAATAAAAAAAATCAAACAAAAATAAAATATACAAGCAATGAAAAAAAAACAGAAACAAAAAAAAATGTTTCTAATTTCTAATCTGATTACTCTCTTAACTATATACCCGAGTACCTTTTCATTGAATGGAATGTCAGTCATGTTCTTGTCATTTTATTAAACTTTGTTGTAAAACAAAAACAATAACAAAAAGTAAATTAAGAAAAAAAAAAGTAATAAAAGTATCGGTTATACAAAACAATTATGTCACGCAGATTTGCATTTTAACAACCATGTATAAAATTTCCACTTTAACTAACAAATCTACACCATTTTACAAGCAGATCAAAACAACAACAAATTAAAAAATAAAAAACAAAACACAAAAATTAAAACATACAACAACAGGAAACTCATGGAAAAACTACAAACGACAAAAGCTAAAAATATAAAAAGCTAAGAGGGCAATACATCTTTTCTCTCCCTCTCATGTCATACCTATACCATATACATATATGTATACCTAAACAATAACACTTATACACACACTCATGTTTGAATTCCCAAAAACCCCTACACCTTCTTATACTTTTTTTTTTGTTGTTTTAATATTTCCTTATTTTCATTATTCATTCACGTTCATTATAGTATCCTTATATAAAAATAAAAATAAAAAAAAAAAAAAAACGGCAGCAACAACAACTAGGACACATATTGTTCCCTAACTTTTGTTTCTTCTCTTCTTTTTTTTATTATTATTATTTTATTTTTCCTTTTTTTGTTTTGCTCTTCATTTTCCATTTCATAACTTCCTAATGAATTCCACCTTTTCGACAGGTAATTAATCATTCTGGCACTTTTTATATAATTTTCGCTCTTTTGTTTTGTTGTTATTGTTGTTGTTGTATTATTTTTGTTTATTTACATGTCGTACTTATTGTTACTTTGTTGCCATAATGTCCCTCTTCTTTTTATTATTATAT